GTTTGTTGTTTTTCCCGGAAGCATTGCGAAGGGTTCTTCTTCTAAAAGCGGCTGCCAACTTCACCTGCCAACTTCTCATGCCAACTTGTCGAGAGTTACTTCACCTGCCAACTTCTCATGCCAACTTGTCGAGAGTTACTTCACCTGCCAACTTCTCATGCCAACTTGTCGAGAGTTACTTCACCTGCCTACTTCTCATGTCAACTTTTTGAGAGTTACTTCACCTGCCAACTTCTCATGTCAACTTTTCGGCTGTTATCTCATTCTACTAAAAGCACAAGCTAATTTGTCGGGTGTTACTTCACTATCCTAAAAACACAAGCTAACTTTTCTGTTCTACCTTCACATCTCGACTCTTAATTCTTCTTCTTTTTATGGCGGGGGTAGGCCCGACGGGAGCTTACGAAACGCACCCCTCTGCGGAGATCGTGCGTGTCGAAGCGCTCTCGCTGTGGCGCCGTGCGAATTTGTCTTGAGCGCGGCGAACCCTCTGCGGAGATCGTGCGTGTCGAAGCGCTCTCGCTGTGGCGCCGTGCGAATTTGTCTTGAGCCCGATGAACCCTCTGCGGGGATCGTGCGTGTCGAAGCGCTCTCGCTGTGGCGCCGTGCGAATTTGTCTTGAGCGCGGCGAACCCTCTGCGGAGATCGTGCGTGTCGAAGCGCTCTCGCTGTGGCGCCGTGCGAATTTGTCTTGAGCCTTGGCGAACCCTCTGCGGAGATCGTGCGTGTCGAAGCGCTCTCGCTGTGGCGCCGTGCGAATTTGTCTTGACCTTGGCGAACCCTCTGCGGAGATCGTGCGTGTCGAAGCGCTCTCGCTGTGGCGCCGTGCGAATTTGTCTTGACCTTGGCGAACCCTCTGCGGAGATCCTGCGTGTCGAAGCGCTCTCGCTGTGGCGCCGTGCGAATTTGTCTTGACCTTGGCGAACCCTCTGCGGAGATCGTGCGTGTCGAAGCGCTCTCGCTGTGGCGCCGTGCGAATTTGTCTTGAGCCCGATGAACCCTCTGCGGAGATCGTGCGTGTCGGATCGCTCTCGCTGTGGCGCCGTGCGATTTTCTTGCTCGCGAAACGGCTTTTGGAAGTTGTCTCGTGGTGTGCGCGCCTGCTTTCGCAATCCCGCGGTCCCGGGTTCGATTCCCCCCTGGTCCGCGGCAGCTCCGGCTTGAAAATCGCAGCTTTTAAGTACAAACGTAGTACGCGGAGCGTGCTCCTGCAGCTCCGGCTGGAAAATCGCAACTTTTAAGTACAGACGTAGTACGCGGAGGCTGCTGCAGCTCCGGCTGGAAAATCGCACTTTTTAAGTACAGACGTAGTACGCGGAGCGTGCTCCCGCAGCTCCGGCTGGAAAATCGCAACTTTTAGATACAAATGGCTGGAAAATCGCAACTGTAAATTGCAAATGTAGCACGCGGAGCGCCTCCGCCGCTCCAGCTTTTTGAGGGTTAATTACTTCACCTGCCAGTTTCTCATGCCGAAACTTCGAGAATTACTTCACCTGCCAGCTTCTCATGCCACCTTTTCGAGAGTTACTTCACCTGCCAACTTCTCGTGCCAACTTTTCGAGGAGTTACTTCACCTGCGAGCTTATCATGCCAACTTTTCGAGAGTTACTACACCTGCGAGCTTCTCATGCCAACTTTTCGAGAATTACTTTACCTGCCAACTTCTCATGCCAACTTTTCGAGAAATACTTTACCTGCCAACCTCTCGTGGCAACTTCACCTGCCAACTTTTCGAGAATTACTTTACCTGCCAACTTCTCATGCCAACTTTTCGAGAAATACTTTACCTGCCAACCTCTCGTGGCAACTTCACCTGCCAACTTTTCGAGAATTACTTCACCTGCCAACTTCTCATGCCAACTTTTCGAGAAATACTTTATCTGCCAACCTCTCGTGGCAACTTTTCGAAAAATTACTTCACCTGCCAGCTTCTCATGCCAACTTTTCGAGAGGTACTTCACCTGCCAACATCGCCTGCCAACTTTTCGAGAGTTACTTCGCCTGCCAACTTCTCGCGCCAACTTTTCGAGAATTACTTCGCCTGCCAACTTCTCATGCTAACTTTTCGAAAGTTACTTCACCTGCCAGCTTCTCACGCCAACTTTTCGAGAGTTACTTCACTTGCCAACTTCTCATGCCAACTCTTTGAGAGTTATTTCACCTGCCAACTTCTCATGCCAACTTTTCTCTTGAGTTACTTCGCCTGCCAACTTCTCATGTCAACTTTTCGAGAATTACTTCACCCGCCAACTTTGCCAGCCAACTATTCGAGAGTTACTTAACCTGCCAGCTTCTCATGCCAACTTTTTGAGAATTGCTTCGCCTGCCAACTCCTCATGCTAACTTTGCGAGAGTTACCTCACCTGCATCAACTTGCCTCTATGCTTCCGGGCCACTCGTCGTCTAGTTTGTTTGGCGTGGCAGGGCGGTGCTTGTTGTTTTGGTGGCCCGAAGTTTTTGGTTTTCCACCAGTTGGTGCTCTTGCAATACTTAGTCCTATGCAATCGACTTGTTGCGAGTTTCCAGTTCCAGCAAGGGGGAGCTGATGAGTCGAGGCTGGCCCTTTGGTGGACATCAATCGCACAGTGACATGGGGATTTGTGCTGCAAATGGGGATGCATGCCCATCACCCATTCTTGAAGGGAAGGTGCCTCTTGAGGGGTCCACCCCTTGTGCGAGTTCATAGGGTTCCGCCGGAGCCAGGACCGTGACAAGTCTTCTCACGGCACAAGGTTTCCGAAAATTGACTCTTCGAGTTGTTGGACTCTGAGTTTCCCACCACAAAAGGGTTGCCCAATTGAGACGAGCGCAGGCGGCTGCTTTTGGGGTGGTTGAGTTAGAAAGGACTTTAGTTGAGAATACTCATTTTAGGGGCTCCCTCATTTGGAGGCCTTTTTTCGGCTGGCACGTGTGCAGGTGCGCTTGTCGAGCACGATGCCCCATGCTGAAGAAGATGTGTATGGCCTGGCAGGGCACTTGGCTTGCCCGCGATTTCGGCCTCAACCTAGAGCGAGGTCTGTTCAAATCAGGGGTTGGCCACCACTCCCTTGTTGAACATGCTGGTTTTGTTTGGCTTCGGAAGTGTCTAGAGTCCTGCGGTTCGCTTGCAGAACGCTTTGGCTCCGAGTCCCTGAAGTAAGGGACCTTCGTATCGCCTCTTACTCCATGCCATGCTGGCGCAGAACCTTGAACGTTCAGCCAGCTGTGGAAAGAGGACATGCTATCCGCATATAAGGATTTGTTAGGTGGGCCAATGCCAAGCATTCCAGTGTGCGCACTGTTTCTTCAGCCTGCCTGGGCTGGGTGCACCAACTGAAGTTATGGAGGAACAGCTGCCAAACAGCTCCTACACCATGATGTGGTTACTTTTAATGACGAGAGGCTCTGCCCTGCGGTATTTGGTCGTTTCCCTGGCGAATCTCATGTGCCAAGTCATGATTCCTGCAGTGGCGGAAGGGTAGTCCTTGTGCCGCAGGCCTTTCTTCTCTTAACATAGCTTTCTTCTGCAAAATGCATTCCTCTTGGCCGATGTGGGTCCTGCTGCTCCCCGGCCGCACACTCTTTGCCGATCGCCGGCCGCAGCTTTGTTGCGAAGCTTCGTTGTTGCTTTGTTGTTCCGCACTCCAATTGGAGTCAAGCCTGGGTCAGGGCGCCTCTTTGGTGTTTGCGGGGACCCCCTAACACCTTCAAAGGATCAACCATTTCAGTATCATGGCCATTTGCAAGAGGTTTCCCCCCATGCCCCACGCTTTATTTGGTGCAAGGTTTGGGTGGGAAAGAGAAATAATCACCTTTGCCTAAACTAAAACTGACGGATATGTCCGGATTTTACTTGGTTTTGTTCAGTATGCCTGGAAACCAAGACAGCGAACCAGAACTCCACAGTGGAAGTTCCGCTTGGTTTCCCTTCAGACGCCATCCAAGGCAAACAGGGAGCTTGCTCCTGGTTTAAGGGACCAGGGGATTGACTCATTTTTTGTATTCAAGCTTCGGGTGATCTCTGGCTTTCCAGTGGGGTTAGGGTTTCGGAGTATCGGTGAAGGGAGAAAATCCATTCCTGGACTCCTGGACCGCCTTTCCCTCGGAGGTGCAGCCTGCTGTGGCAGGCCCACTCGGCACGCTTCGAGAAGTCGGCGCTGGATGCCAAGGCGGCGCTGACGGAACTGAAGGACTGTGCCCAGGGCTTCAAATTATCCACTGGAACCTGGCCCCTCGACCCCAAATGGCACTCCAAAAAGAAAGAAGAGGTGATTGTCTGATTGTCCTTTGGTCTGGTGGGAAAGGTCTTGCATCGAAGGAACCCTGGCAAGTATGGAAGGGGGGAAGCTGGGGCGGGCGTAACGGACGTACCGGGAGCAAAGCGGCGCAAGGGAAGGCGCCACCGTCACCCCACATGTTGCAACCAGTTGGTGAAGGACCTCTCGGGTGCCTGGGTCCTCAAGCGCGCCTTGGCTGAGGGTATGGGGCCGACCATTCTGCCGGGGGAGGGGGGGGGATGCGAGTTCGCCTCCAAATGCTTCGGACTCAGGAGAGAAAAGCAGCCCCAATTGAGTGGGGTGCCATTTTTTTTGGGGCACCAACCTCAAACATGGGCACCACCCACAAACATGATACCGAGTTGAGTGCCGAGTCAGGTTTTGAGTTCAGCACCGAGCCGAGCCAAAACAAGAGTGATGCCGGTGACCAGAGTATTGTGAAAGCAGTGGGTGGGCCCTTCACACATTGCCTGCGCCCTGGCAATTTGTCGAAAGTTGCTTGTGAGGTGATTAATAATTTCCGTGGCCATTTGCACAAGTCCAACTCGGAGAGTGCACCACCTCTCTCTCAGGTTTCTGTCCCAAAGCGGCCCCTCCAGCCGCTCTCTGCTTGCCGCTTCCGGTCGCCACCGGAGACAAAAACTACCCGCCTGTGCCCAGGCACCTTTGCCAAGGACCGCTACTTTGACGTCATGAAGGCGTCTGACACCACCTATGAGGCGCGCACCGCCCTCGTTTATATTC